CAAACGAGTATATTTTTGAGGAACAGGTCATTGTGTGGAATTGATTAAATTATTCAGCCAGATACTTAGTAGTTTTACAAAGTTGACTAGTTTGGTATATTCTGATTCTGCTGTAGCTTGTCTAGAAAATGGCTTAGATGATCATTTCTTTATATTTCTACAGGAAGGAGTGAGGAGTTTTCCTGGTCCATACTTTCTCACTACATCTATGACTGACGACAAATTTGAATGCTAACTATGTTTAACTAGAATGTTTCTGGAACTTTGGACATCGGGGTGTAGGTGAAGTCTCCTTTGTTCAGCAACCAGAGCTTCAAGTCTTGAGAGGAGCATAGATAAATTGATATGGAGGGAATTTTGTAGGTAGCATACCTCTTGTCAGATCATGAGATGCTAAAGACTAAATCACCTCAGTTGATCTAGATGGAGATTCTTGGAGGCTGGTGTGATTTTAATGGGGCTGGAGTTAGTGTTTGCTTTGGAGAATTCAACCACTATGTGTTTGTAGTAAGGATGTTTACTGATAAATACTTTTTTTTCATAAAGCATCTTGTGGCTGAGTCTTCCCAGAGAATTTCATGAATGTGAGTAGAGGGAAAGTAAAGTCCAAGGTCTTGGACTTGGACAAGAGGTTGGTAATATAACTCAGTGTGGTCTGTGTTTTGCAGCGATGAGAGTGGATCTACCTGCTTATTTGGGATCAAGAACTGAGAATGCTGGGGATTGGGCCTTGATAGATGATGGACAATCTATTGCAACTAAGTCAAGATCTTCTATGAGTTGAGGGAGAAAAGGTTGGGGAGGAAATGTAGAATCTAGCAAGTCTTGTTTCTGGGCATGTCCTAGGCTGAGGGGTGTGTGTGTGTGTGTGTGTGTGTGTGTGTGTGTGTGTGTGTGTGCATTTATGTACATGCATCTACTCTATTGCTGGTGTGGAGGTGTAAGCTGTGGAGGAAATAGTCTGAGGATGTTTGTATTATCTTGTATGAGATTCTTAACTTCTCAGATCCCTCAGACACTCTGTTTAACATTGTGTTCCTCTTGAAGGTCAATGAGTTGCCAAGAAACTTATACCTTCTAGAAACCAGGGATCCAGAACTCTTCAGCCTTCCTGTGTCTTCACAGAGTTGCAGAGCAGGGGAAGAAAAAGGCCTTGGGTTCCTTCTGATGTCCTTTTGCATCAAGGGTGGAAACGAGGTTGGATGGATTGGGGAAACTGATGTCCTTTGCCTGGGCAACCCTATGGTCATCAGCAAGACACTGCTTTTGCAGGGAGGCCATAGTGTGAATTGCATTTTGTTGGACTTTAATCCTCTGACAATAGGCAATCAATGTTTAGCAAAGTTGGTAAATACAACATTGTATTAAAGGGGATTTATACTGTTATTGGACCATTCTGGAAGGCTGGAAAGTACAAAGAGCAACAAAAGGAATAATGAGCTTTCCTGTTCATTAACCACAGTGGAGATTATTCTCAGTACTTCCAAAGTGGCCCTACTTGCTCTATACCTCTTCCACATTTGTAAAGTGGAGTTAATATTTTCTGAATTCTAATCTTGTTCATTTCCTGTCAAAACCTTTCAGTGGTTCCTTGATCCATACCAAATTTTGTTTATTCATCTTTGCTTTTAAGTCTCTCTCTAGTTTGGAGACAATATTTGTAGTGAATATTTATGCATGAATGCAAGTATGGTTTAGTATTAGAAAGTATTTGTTGTAACACATTGAAAGATTAAAGGAAAAAAACTCACATCATCATCTTATTAGATAAATAAAACCATTGGGTAAAATCCAGTATATTGTTGTTACTTAAAAAAAAATCTTTTCTAAAAGTAGAAAAGGATTTTCTTAATATGATAAGGAGCATATATAAAAGTCATGTAACAAACATATATAGTGGGAAAACACAATAGGCATCTTTAAAATCATGAATATTGCAAGAATACTATCACCTTTTCTATTTGACATTGTGTGGACATCGATAGTCAGTGCAAAATTTCTTTCAAAATGAAAGGGCTGGGCGTGGTGGTACACACCTGTAATCCCAGTGGCTCCGGAGGCTGAGGCAAGAGGATCGTGAGTTCAAAGGCAGCCTCAGCAAAAGCTAGGCGTTAAGCAACTCAGTGAGACCCTGTCTTTAAATAAAATACAAAATAGGGCTGGGGATGTAGCTCCGTGGTCGAATGCCCCTGAGTTCAATCCCCAGTACCAAAAGAAAAAAGGAAGAAATGAGACCTGTAAGAATTGGAATATAGGGGGAAAAAACTCTGGCATGATATGCAAGTAATCTGATTTTCCTGATTGAATCTGTGGTCAAATTGTTAGGAATAATAGGCTCATTTGGTAAGGTAGCTGGATATATAAGATCAATTTGCATAATTTGATTGTATTTTATGAACTATGACAATCAGGAAATATATCTTTAAAAAAAATTTTGTTAAAAACTATAACATACTTGAGAATAATTCTAATCAAATGTGTAAAATCATTCTATAGAAAAAATAAAATTTGGGTGACATTTAAGGGAGTCTAGAAAATAGATATCCCATGTTTGTGGATAGGAAGGCATACTATAAGAAAGGTGTTGGTTCTGTCCAAACTGATCTACAAATTCAGTGTAGTTCCTATCAGAACCACATCAGGGTTTTTCATGGAACTAGATAAGCTCATGCTAAAATTTGTATGAATGAGTGAAGAAACTATAATAGATAAGAGATTTCCTAATAATAATAATAGCATTTGGGACTTGCCTTATCAGATATCAGGCCTTATTATGAAGCTACAGAAAAAAAGAAAAAAGTGGTACTGGTCCAGAGACACAAAGTGACCAGTGGAATAGGTTAGATCCCTGTCTATTTGGAACTTTAATTTGTGACCCAAGGTGGCATTACAGATGTGTGGGGGAAAAATAAGTATCAGTTAATGGAGCTTATGGGAAAAATTGGATTTTTGTTTCACCTCATGACATATAAAAGAATATCACATGAAATTAGGGCTTAAATATCAAGGGCAAATGTTCAACTTTTAGTAGAAAACAAATTAATTATCTTTCTGGCTTTGTAATAAGGAAGGACACTAATTCTAAAATAAATTAGGTGTGTAGGATTTTTTTTATATGAAGTTTTTCATCTTTGCTAGGTGCTTCCTCTCTGATCACATTTTCTGGCTTGAGATTTTCCTTACCTGCATAAGCAGGTAGTAATTTTCTTGTATATCTCTCAATATTTATCTTCCTCTGTTCAGCTAATTTCCTTGTACCCAGAATCCAAACAGTTCCTAGTTCGGATATCTATGACTTATATTTACATGCTGAGCTGAGGTAGGGATGGAAGCCAGAGGAGGAGTCTGTTATGGTCAGACAAGCTGTGGTTTGATATGCTGCTTATAGTTAAATCTCAATGTGAGATCTGTGTAGGCTTCTGGAACATTCTCTTAATTATAACAGCTCCTTTCTCTAGCCATTTGGCAAGGACAGGGAGTAAGGATGGACAGAGGTCTGCTAGGGCAAGTCAAAGGGGGCTACAGTGTCCTAGAGTTGGCATAAACTGTGGGTCCCCAAATCTATACAAGCCGAGGAGGTTCTGTTTTCGTACTAGCAAAATAAAGCTTAGCTTGGTTGAAACATAGCTCCAAGGTAAGTCTGGGGCCTTGGAGCCAAATAATTTCACCTGTTTGGAGAGAATATCCTTTCCTTGCCCATTCTTTTGGTGGTTCTTCCAACCTCTACCCCGCCATCCTACCCCATGAAGTTAACAGATAATTCAAGATAGTTGGGTAGTTATCTGGTTTCCCATAGGGATTTGAGTGTTTTGTCTCTTGCTTTCAGTAGAGAGAGGATGTTGAGATTATGGGTGAGTCTTGCTGGTCCCTACTTGCTCACTTGCTCAGTTAGCCTATCCAGATGTCCTTTCTTTTCACATCAATTATAGTCCCTTGTCTCTCTATAGGATTATGGTTTCTTAGAAACTTAAACTATTGTGCCACTATTCTCCATACCATAGCCAATGTGATATTTCTAAAGCACAAGTTCGTTCATCTGTTCCTGTTTCCCACTTCTCTGAAACACTTTGATGTCTTCTCATCGTTTTGGAAAGAGATCCAAACTCCCCAGTCTTCTTGATACTCTTCCTGTGCTCTCTAGGTTTACTGAACTGCCTATACTTTGAACACACTTTGCTCCTTTTCTCCTTTAGGTCTTTATGCATACTATTTCCTGTCTGACTTCCTTTTTACCTGGCTAATTTCTGCTCTTCCTCTGAATCTTTTCTTTTAGAAATTTTCTCTCAATCTGGCATCACCGGGATAGTTTCTCAATTGGATCATGATACTTAAAATGTGATGTTTGAATGTTTACTTGGCTTTCTGCTCCATTGGACTTGGCTATTTGAATGGCTTTGGGACAGCAGATACTGTGCTTTATTTGTTTGCTTTCCTTAAACTTAAATATGGAACTTGACACATAGTTGCCTCCATTAAATATTTTAATATTTAATAAAATATTAAATATTTTAATACTTGTACCCTTTTTTTTCTCTTTTGCAATACTGGGAGTTGAACCCGGAACCTCCTGCAAGCTAGGCAAGCATTCTACCATTGAGCTACATCCTCATTCTGTCTGCATTAAAATATTCAATTAATATTAATTTGTTAATTAAAGTATTAATTAACAAATATTCCAGTGTGATAGTGATAGAGTGCTTAGTCTCTCTCCAGTTTGGGAAGGGAGGTTAGGGACAGCATGAGGATCTTTCACCAAGTCACTCCGAATTTGTGGAAGAAGTAGAGCTAGAACCTGACTTTTTTCATTGGAATGCCCTTTGTAATGCAAGATCCTGCAGAAATGCTGGACAGTGTATTTCCTTTTCTGTTGGTCTGTGATGAGGAGAATAGCCTGACAGAGATGTCCCTGGTGGGTGGGCAAATACACAGACTTATGGCAGTCCCATGAATGGGTTTACTAATGTGTTCTCTTTCCCCTCCCTCTTCCTTCCTGTTTACAGTGTCAAGCCAAACTCCCAGCCACAGATACAGGCTGGGGATGATGAGAAGAACCAGAGGACAGTCACTGTCAATCCAGCCCACATGGGAAAGGCCTTCAAGGTTATGAATGAGCTTCGGAGGTACTTTTCCTATCTTGCCTGTGCCCTTTCAGAAGGAACTTGCAGGGAAGCTTTATCAGGGACCAAGAACAGAAGTCAGAACGCCACCATCTAGTGAATTATGACTCTTCCCCACCCACTCTCAGTCACTTGGCTTCCTTCCCCTTTTCAAATTCTGAGACAGAACAACTTTGCCAGAAAATCTCTTTCCTTTATATTTATTTAACACCTTTCATTTTAGTGATTAATCACAGGGGAAAATTCCTTTGTAGTTAAAGCAGGTCTGTTCCTAAACTTGATTTCCAACTGAACCAGCTGCTTAAAAACCAATAATAGAACTGTGACACCTACACACAATTGCAAACTAAAGATTGTAGATGTTATATATTTTCTTTTCGCCTCTCTTTCATGCCTCGGGTTGAGCTTAGCTTGGCAGGACAGCTACATGAATGGAAGAATACCTAGTTCCCTAAATGCAGTTTGACTCTGTAAAGAAAGAAATGACACACAAATGTACTCATCCTCATAGAACTAAATGGTGAGGGTCTGCAGGCTGTTGGAAAGGCCAGTGTGTGTTTGTGTGACAAGCTTGTTGCAATACAGGTTTAGGGCACTGAACATATTTTTCTTTATAAATTCTGCACATGCAGTCTTCCTTACCAAAGAGCTCAGCAGCTTCCTTTGCCCACCTTTATTTACTGGATTCTTTATTGTATTATAAAGTGAAATTGTTTACCACCTTTTTTCTTTGTAGCTCTTGAGCTCCCAGCGGGCAGGGACAACTTCTGAGTAATTTTGATCTCTAGCACTTGGTACATCATAAAAGATTTGATTTTTTTCCTTTTGTTTTTTTTAACCAAAGATGCCCAAAGGTACTGCCTAGACCTTGGGATGGGTGGGTGGAAAAACAAATCAGAAATGTAAATAGGTTAATAAAAATCATCTTTCTATAGTGTGACTGGGTCTTATGAAGGAGGAATACAATAGGTGTCTGACAGGTGGTAGGTATGCAATAATTTGTTTCTTAAATAATGTAGAAGAAACAAGTATGTTGACTAACTTCGGAGAATACTTCTTAAAGAGAGATGATGCTTGAACTGAATGTAGAAGATTGAGTCAGAGTTAAAGACATGAAGGATATTGGGGGTAGGGAGAAACCTTCTAGCCTGAGAAATGGCATATAACCAAAGAAGTGTCTGTTGAGTGGGGCATGAGCTACTTTTAAAAGTTTGATTCTATGTTTGTTTCTTCATTTCTTCTTTTTGCACAGCCTAGTCTTTGGCATTAAAAAACAAGTTTAATTAAATTTGTCTTATGCTCTACTGCTCAATTTTTATTAGGCCTCCTGCCAGATTTCTTGGAAGCTCTGCCCCTAGCTGTCTTAGCCATAGGGCAGAGCTGATGTTCATGTCTATGGACTTGGTCTCTTGTCACTAAAGACTTTGTATGTTGTTCTCTAGACACTATTTGAATCCCAACTTAGTTTTTTTGGGTATGACTTGTGTCCTTTGTCTGATTTAAGAATCTACTTAAGAGTCTAATTCTCTCATCGGGCCTTATTTTGCCTGGTGCAGCCAACTCTGGTGACCATTGAAAGGGAGAGCTGAGGGAATAGATGTGCATAGAGGATTCTTCCTATCCCCACTTCCCCTTACTAGCATCATTTCATTTTCTTCAGCAGCTTAAAAAAAAAAAAAAAAAGTCATCCTATGACCTCTCTGCTTTTGTTACAAGTTACTAGCATTTGTATCTTTCCCCAGAGTAGGGCTTGACTTGGATTTAATCTCCCACAGTTCTGCACTGCTTCTCTTTTGTATTATTCAACATTTGCCATAGTTTGTTCTGAGTAGTGTTTGTTTCCTCAGGATGCTCTGTGGGATAAAAGAGACCCGTACCCAAATGAGTTTGAAAAAGGCTATTTATTACACCTCTCTGAGGTGCATAATGTATTTAGGCATGTGCAATATACTTGTTTGAACATTTCCCACACATAATTGAGTGTTGTTAGGTAAAGACTGAGTATATTGTGAAATTTGTTTGGAAAATGCTGATCTAAACATGAAACATAGTCCTCTGCTGAAATTTAAGTAAATAATCTGTTTTTCTTCTTTTTGATTGATCAAATGGACCACAGTCTGTATTTGCCTAGGAAATTTTTAATTCAAATTTAGGCATGAATTTCACTTTCACTTTTTCAAATTAATTAATTAATTATTTTTTATAAAAGGAATTAATTTATTGCAGAACATTTAGAAAATACAGATGAACAAAAAGTCACTTATGGTTTTAATATTAGTGGTAACCATTGTTAATACTTTGGAGAATATTTTCTCTTTTTTTATATTTATTTTTTTTAGTTTTAGGTGGACACAGTATCTTTATTTTACATTTATGTGGTGCTGAGGTTTGAACCCAGGGCATGCCAGGTGAGCACTGCACCACTGAGCCACAATCTCAGCCCCCTATTTTCTCTTTAAAATATGTCTAAACCTGATTTTTTTATTCATGTAGCACTGTGTCAAACAGTCACTGTTTTATAACATTGAATGAATGGTATTCTTTTTTTGCTTTATTAAAAAACAAAACAAAACAAAAACAGTTCCCAGGTGTGGGATGTCTAGGTTTTCCCCGTTCCATATATAAAAAATATCTTCAGTGGTTATCTTTGTAGCAGTATAATGTAGTGGTCACATAGACTTTGGTTTTAAATCTTGGCTCTAGTGCTAACTAACTGTGCAACCTTGGGCAAGTTAATTAATCTCCCTGGTCTTACTTTTGTTACCCGTAAAAGGAGGCTAATAATAGTACCAGTCTTGCTGGGTTGTTAAGAGGATTAATGAATAAAGTACTTAGAACAGTGATAGCACATTTATTACTATTGCTAAGTATTTGTGCAGTTTAATCACATGGTTATTTCTATGGAATTAATTCTTAGAAGTAGAATTGCCAATTTCCATGGTCTATAGTATAATACTAACTGTTCCTTAGATGTTGCTGTGAGGCCCTGGCACACAGTGAATATTGTGTGTCAGCTATCTGATGATGAGAAGGAGGAGGAGGTAAACACTCTACTAGGTAGCCGGAATATGACAGTAGGTAAGAGAACCGAAGTCTTTCCCTCTATGGAGCTTTTGTTCTCATGGTGTTCAAAAGGCTGTATCAAATTCCAAGATATTTAAATGATAATCTTCTAAAAACTGTAGTGAAATAGATGAAGCAGGCAGAAAGGGGACCTGGATTGATACTTGATTGATCTGGGTGACTTTAATGGAAAATGGAGAGAGGGTGGGCATACCTTGTTTAGAAGAAGGCCTAGGTTAAAGCATTTTGCCATGAAGGATTAAGCTAATGAAATGTTATATGATATTCCAGGGATCTGGGGTTATTTTTTTTGTGTTGTTTTCACATTCCCCTCTCTTAATTTTATGCTATATTAGCTCAAGCACACTTTTTTGTTTTTGCAATTTATGAATCACACAATTCACGAGTTTCCTATTATTTTTTACTGCCATGGTAGAGAAAGGGCATTGGCATGGTAACCACCCAGCTTTCTCTCCCTTTAGCACTAAATTGCTCTGCTCTAGTCAAACCACAGTGCCTCTGGCAGCAGAGTCCTAGTGACTCTTTGGCCCCTGACTTACCATCCAGCCAGTAGTGGGGATGTGGTCCTTTTGAATGGCATACCCTGACTGGTCCTGAAAAGAAGGAAGCAGGAAGGACAAAGCAACCAATGAGTATTTAGAACCTACAGTATTTCCTATTTCGACTCAACAGGCCTCCCCACTCCCCCACTTTGCCAGGGGATTGAACCCGGGTCTTGGCACATATTAAGCATGTGCTCTACCACTAGTTTCATACTATCCCCTTCACAATTTTAACCTCTCATTTCAACATTGGAAACAGTTCTCAGTCCTCATTTTTTTTTTTTAATTTGGATGCCCTGACATTATGCCTTTATTGCCAGCAACGAACCATCTAAACACATTACTTTCTGTTTTTCTTTTAGTGACAGCTTTATAAAGATAGAATTAACATGCCATACAGTTCACCTATTTAAGGTATACAGTTTAATCACTTTGAATTTTCAGTGTTATACAACCATAGTCAATTTTAGAATATTTTTGTTGCCCCCCCCCAAGAAACCCAGTGTACTTTAGTAGTTACCCACTCCCACTTCTTCCCCTGTCTTCATCCCTTTCCCACTTTAGCTCCAGGCAATTACTAGTCTACTTTCTGTCTCTATAGATTGACCTATTTTAGAATCATGCCACATGTAGTCTTTTATGTTTACCTTCCTTTCACTGAGCATAATGATTTTTAGGGTTCATCCATGTTGTAGCATATCTCAGCTCTTATTCCTTTTTATTGCTGAATAATATTTCATTATATAGACACAGCACTTTTGGCAATATTGAATAATTCTTCTTCAGACATTCACGTACATGTTTCTGTGTGGATATGTGTTTTCATTTCTCTGGAGTTTATATTTAGGAGAGGGATTTACGGGGTCATATGGTTATGTTTAACCTTTGCAGGAAATGCCAGACTACTTTCCAAAACAGCTGTACCATTTCCATTTCATAAGCAGTGAAAGAAGATTTTAATTTCTCCAATTCCTCTCTTAACACTCATTATTATCTGTTTTTTTTATTATAGCCATCCAAGTGGGTGTGAGATGATATCTTATTATTGTTTTGATTTGCGTTTATTTGGTGACTCATGATTTGAAAATGAGTTAATGTGCATGCATATGAACAATTTCTATATCTTATTTTGAGAAAAGTCTATTCAGCTCCATTGCTCAATTTCCTAAAAAAATTAGATTATTTTTATGTTTTTTATTGAGTTCCCAGAGTTGGGTTTTTGTGTTCTAGATAAAACCCCAGTATCAGATAGATGATTTGTAAAAAGTTGTTCTCATTTTGTGAATTGGCTTTTTGTATTCCTGATGGTGTCCTTTGAAAAGTACAAATGTTTTAAATTTAGATGTCTGTCATTTTTTTTCTTTTGTTGATTGTTTTTGGTGTCATTTAAGAAAACATTGCCTTTCCTGAAATCATGGGCTTTACTCCTGTGGTTTTTTTCCTAAGAGCTTTATAATTGTAGCTCTAACACTTAGGTCTTTGATCATCGTAAATTAATTCTTACATATGGTAGGTGGTAGGGATCCAACTTGATTCTTTTACCTATTGATAACCAATTATCCCAGCCCATTTCCCAGTTAAAGTTCTTGGTGCCTTTGTAAAAGAATCAAAATCAATTTCTGGACTCTCAATTCTGTTCTTTTGATATGTATAGTTATCTTTATGCTTGTTCTACATTGTCTTTTTTGCTGGCTGTCCCTCCATACACACACACACACACACACACACACACACACACACACACACACACACACACATGTGCACACACATACTTTTTCAAAAATAGAATCAGGATCTTACTCTATTGCCCAGGCTGTCCTCATACTTGTGATCCTCATGACTCAGACTCCTTAGTAGCCTGGACTGTAGGCATGCATCACTTCACTGTGCTTGGCCTTCATCCTCTTACCCATCTCCCATCTTTGGACTCCAGATCTGCTTACTTTATAACCCCACTTGGTTGCCCAATAGACAACTCACATTTATCATGTCCAAAACTTCTATTCTTAAAGAAAATACCTTGTGGGAATAAAGAAGAAAAAGAATAAACTAATATTTGCCAAGTATTTACTATTAGCACTGTGCATTATGTCTTTTATGATATATCTCAATTCTGTGATACTCTGGAGATGGTGTAACTCTCCTATGCTAGAGAGCAGTGAGACAGAGTTTTGAATTTCAGTTAGTTTGATTCTAATACCTGAGCACCTTCCTAACAGCTACACTATACTTTTCTACAAATGGTAAAGCATATAGTCTACTTTTCTCTCCTTAAGATTGTTCTTTGGAGTAGTATCATAGCTCAGAAAAAAATGAAAGGAATCCATAGGATTTTTGGTAAGTGAAACAGAAGTACTTGTGAGCCTTGTAGTGCTTTGGTACTGCCTTTTCCCTACCTTCAGGAAAAGCTTACCTTGACTTTTCGGCAAATTTCTCTTGACCATTTATCCAGGTAGATTTATTTTGGCCTTGAGTTTTGTTTTCCACCTGTTGGAACTGCTCTTTTTCATTTATTTAACTGGATCATCTCTGTTCCCCATTCCTTCTTATCTCTTTCTCATTTGTTCACAAATTATCAGCCTTTTTGGATATCTGCAATAAATTTCATTCTGACATTTGTTTGTTTGCTTCTAGCACTGAAAATTTGACTCTTTTTTGTTTCTCTTTAAAATATTGGTATCTAAAAAAAATTATTATTCATAAATAGCAGTAACTATAGCAACTATAAATAGCAGTAACTAAAGTCTCCTAAAATCCTTAATAGAAGTGAAAGTATCCAAGGTTTGTCTATTCATGTTGGGTATATGGTTTTTACAATAGTTTTGACCAGATTTAAAAAACAGCCTGTTCTCAGGTGACTTTCTGCCACTCCGTTTTATTTCTGTGATATGTGTCCTAAGGGCTACTAAGACAGGTTCGAATGCTGTGGCAAGCTTATTTGTTCATATTCTCATAGGGGCAGCATCAGTTGTGTTCCTGTTTGTGCTGATGTATTCTGATAAGATTGGTGTGTGAGGTCTGCTGCCCACTGTGGGGTGAGGTCCCAACTCCTAGGTTTTACCTCTTGGTTCCTTCAGGTCTTACCTTCTTAGAAGCCTACCACTGGTACTTTACGCCATGTGGTGGACATTTCCTGAACACCTGTTGTGTTGGAAGCCCATTGTCTTCTGTCTTTTCCCATTCTGAGTGTCAGCCACTTGTGAGGCATCATGGTCGAGTGGGAAAAGCACTATTTCTGGAGTCGAGAATCGGCCTTCTCAGGCGTCTCTTCACTTCTCTGGGCTTCATAGACCACACGACCTCTCAGGGCATTGCAGCTCCAGCGGTCTCAGGCTTTATGATCACAATTCTCTAAGTGAACCTGTCTTAATAGTTGACAGTGGCTTAATGTACTAGACCTGAGATGGCAAATATGTAGTTTCTCTTCCATCTGCCAAGCATGGCAGACTCATTAACTGGTTTCAACATCCTCACATAAAACCCAGACATGACTTCAGATTTTTTTGTACCAGTATATGTGTGCTAAACAACCACTACCAGTGAATCATGGTTGAGATGTGTTTGTTGTCCTGGTCTTCCCTCCTATCTGTAGTGCTTTCATCTACTGGAGGCACTAGTAGGATTAGGTACCATAGAATGAGTTCTAGGGATGAGATATGTGCATGAAAATGCTGTCTCCACTTTCTATACTCCTTTCTGTGGGACCTTGGGAAAGTTACTTAATTTCTCTGGGCCTCAGTGTCCTCATTTTTTATGTGGAAAATAACAATTAGCCCCATATCATCATGTTGTAGAGAGGAATAAATGAACTAATATGTGTTAAAAATGCTTAGAACAGTTCCTGGCACATACAACTCAATAAATGTTATCCATTATATTAATTACAGACATGATAACAACTTGGAAGGCTGATAAAGGAAAAATTCTTGGTTTGACAGGGTCTTATGGCTCCCTGTCAATCTTTAAATATCCATCTGTCTATGAATGAGTTGATTCCCATTTATTCATTCACTTATCCAGAAAAATGCAGGGTAAAGCTTTACCTTGACAGTTGTAGTGATTGGAGCTTGCAAAGGGTCTTCAGTTATGTGTGTGCAGGCAGTGGGCTCTTGGTTATAGTGTTAAATCTGGATGTGAAGAGACATGCTGGAGTCTGGCTTGCCTCTTACAGTTTTGCATGTGGGTGAACCCTCGGGGAGTTGTTAGCACTCAGTCTTGCTGGTGGCACACTTGGTGGTGTGCTCGTGTACCTCAGCATTCAGTCCTTCACTAGCAGCCTGAGGTATTGCCACTGCTTTCTGAGCCTTTGTCCCCCTAATTCTCAGTCAGAGCTGATGGTATTGGGAACAGAGAGTGAAGATTAATGAAGCAGCCTGACTTACAGCCACAGAGTAGTTGGATATCTCTTTGTGGAAGATTTATCAAATACTTGAATGAAGGAGCCCATCCCTTTGCTTAACTCAAGATAGAGCAATTTTCTATGGCTACCTCATGTGGCAAACCAGTGTGAAGTCTGGGTGGGAGAAAACAATATCCTGGTATGATTGGGTAGGTGTTCGTGCTGTGACCCATTCTGTCCCTTCACTGGTGTCTTGCAGTAAGCAGCTGTTGTGTGACGTGATGATTGTGGCAGAAGATGTGGAAATAGAAGCCCACCGTGTGGTCCTGGCAGCCTGCAGTCCCTACTTCTGTGCGATGTTCACAGGTATGGTGAGGGGCACACAGTAACCTATGGTGTGGGGCTGCTGCCCCCCTGGGAGGACATTGATGGTGGTGGCACAAGGGGAGGGAGGAATGAGAAGGCTGTGAAGCTTACTGTGAGGAATTTCCCTTTCTCAGCTTTGTACCATAGAGAACTTCTGGAACCAAAGTCTCAACCAAGCCAGCTGGACATGTAGACCCTTGACCACTACGAGGAAGAGAGGTGGAATCGTGTAGTCCAGTAGTTCTCAAGCTTTAGCATGCACCAAAATTAGGGAGCTTGTTAACAGTGCATTCCTAGGTTCATTGCCAGGCCTTCTGGTCTCCCATTTTGCATGAGGGACACTGAGGCTGAGTGAGGGGAAGGGACTTGTCCAAGGTCATACAGTGAATGAATGGGACTTGGATTCTTGACACCTGGCCTAGTGCTCTATCATTGGACCCACATCTTGTTCTTCCCTAACCTTTCCTTCCAGGCAAACACCTGGGGTCTCCTCTAGCCTTTATAGAGGTATGGAAGAGATTTGAAGAAATGATGGTGGGGATTGGTATTGAGACATGAGAATGATCAAAATCTAGCATAGTTTCAGCACCTTTGCCAACTCCCCGGGGATCCGCTTCCTGGGCACATGTAGGAAAGGATCACATTTTACACTTAAAACTCTGGGCTGAATTTCTTGAAATCCACAGGCTTCCCATCTGTAGTTCCTCATAGCACCTCTCCTGAATCAGATACATGCAGTGCTGTATAAATCACTGCTGATAGAAGGAGGCCATCAGAGCTCAAAGGACCCTCTGACTTGGTCAGGTGTACCTATCTCATGTTTTCCAAGAACCATTTTCCTGCTCTGAATGTAGTGACCATCACTCTGCATTTTATTTCTCTGGTCTGTTTCCTGGTGTAACACTCTCTTTGGAATGATCACAAACTCAGTTTCAAGGTTTTTATTTCCTTTTTACCCCTTTTCTTCATCCATCTCTTTCTAAAATAATTTATCTTGTCGCCAACAGTTATTTAGGTGAAATATTAACGAATAGCTATGCCAATATAGCTCTTTTTTTGTGTGTGTGGTTTGAAAGTCCGGTATTGAGAGAAACCTGTTTGGAATTGCAGTGAATTGTAGTGTTGGCTTTGCTTTTGACTGATGAACTTGTTTCTAGGATAGATGAAATGCCTTAGAAAAGACAAAGTGATTTTAGAGCTTGGGAGAACACATGCTTCTGGTTCAGGTATTGGATTCTAGTAATTGAAGGGAGACTGCAAGAGAAGAAAGCTAGTCTCATGTAATGCCCAGCTCAGTCCTTCCCTTGGGTCTGGTTACCATCCATTGTTCCATCCGCTCATTCATCCTTCCACCCATCCATCCATTTGCCCATTCTTGAAAATACTATCCACATATGTAGATTACAAGAAAAGATTAGAAAATGTTAGCAAGCAAAAGTAAAAATAAATAAATAATTATATGTATTACATCTCCTAGGTAAGATTATGGTTTATATCCTTTCATATTTTATATTTATAAAATGGACATATGCCAAATCATTTTTCAACATAAGTAAGTTCATTTTACATGTACAGTTTAAATGTCTTTTTTGATAGGTATAATTTTTAAAATTGCTATTCATTTTCTGAGGTGTTTTTCTTGCCTCTTTTCCCATGTAGCTCCTATTTGTCTTTCATTACCCCACAAGTATCCCTTCCTCAGGAGGGCCTTCCATGACCCCTCAGACTAGGTTAAATCCCTTTGTTACTTATTTCCAATGTACCTTATACTACTACTCTCTAGTATCATTCCTAATCTCAATATCTGATTTCCCTGATCAATTATAAGCTCTATGAGGCTAAGAATTGTCTTTTTTTTTTTTAAAGAGAGAGAGAGGAGAAAGAGAGAGAGAGAATTTTTTTTTTTAATATCTATTTTTTAGTTCTCGGCGGACTCAACATCTTTGTTGGTATGTGGTGCTGAGGATCGAACCCGGGCCACACGCATGCCAGGCGAGCGTGCTACCACTTGAGCCACATCCCCAGCCCAAGAATTGTACTTCTTAACTGATGCAACTTTATTGCCTACCATAGTCTTCCATGCAATATGTGCTTAATAAAAATGTTTAATTGAAGTTGGCATTATATTATGAATATCTTCCCATGTTGATGAAATCATACCTACATTCCTAATTTCAATGACTTTGTAAGATTCCATCATATGTATCCTAATAGAAAATCTATCTCTTCATTTGTTGGAAATTATAGTTTTAATATTTTCCTATTGTAAATAATGCTCTAATGGGCATCCTTGCATCTTAATCTTCATTTTGATTATTTCCTTATAATAGATCCCTAGAACAGGAAATACGTGGTTAAAGGCCATGCATATTTGAAGAGCTGTAAGATGTGTCACCCTTCAGCTGTTCCAGCCTGTACTCCCATCAGCACTAAATGAGATTTGTATATTCTTGAGGCCCCTTGGCTTTGCTTAAATAGATATGAAAAACATTGCAAAATTCTGTTCTAATTATCAGATTTGGCTTTGAAATACATAAAGTTCATTGTGAAAAGGCCCAGCTGACTCTTGTTAAATCTATTTCCATCAGCATGTTTAGGGCCCAAAGAAAATACACATGGTTTTATTCCAACTGAGTTGTATGATTTTGATCTTTTAGTCAGGCTTAGGTGTTTTTATGTGTATATTTTTTGTCCTTTGAGTTCATGTTGTCCAAATTTCCTGTGGCAGTTCCAAATACCAGCTCTACACTCCTTGACCATGTCCTGTCCACATGGAATACAAATGGTGAAACTGAGTGTCTCTCCAGAGAGTGTTCAAATCCAGCCAGGGTGTAAGAAGATCTAAGATAGACAGTCACCTTACCTGCCCTATGTTCCTTTCAGGATAACATGGGTAGTGTGTATGCTGCCTACCTTTGTCCTGTAAGTATGGAATACTTACAGCTTTTCCACTCTCCCCATCTAGTATCTCCATTCCAGGGGATGTAATTTTCCTATAGAATGGGCTAGTCGAGATATATATATATATATATATATGTATATATATATATTTTTTTTTACCAGAGATTGAACCTATGGGTACTTAATCACTGAGTCACATCTTTAGTCTCTCCCACCCCCCCTTTTTTTTTGGATTATGGACCTTTATTTCATTTATTTATATGTAGTGCTGAAAATCAAACTCAGTGCCTCAAACATGCTAAGCAAGTGCTCTACCACTGGGCTGCAATCCCAGCCCTCTTCAGCCCTTTTTTATATTCTATTTAGAGATAGGGTTTTGCTGAGTTTGCTTGAACTCATGATCCTCCTGCCTCAGCCTCCTGTGCTGCTGAGATTACAGGCATGTACCACTGCACCCGGCTACTGGACTAATCAATTATTTTATCACGCCTTTTACTCTGGGCTCTCTATGCACTATAGTATTTGCACTCCATATGAGTCTCTGACATGTCATCCCCATTTTCTGGTGTTAAAGGAACTGAGGTCTAAAGAATATTGGGGCTCAGGGTCTTACATCCATTATTAAGGCTCAAAGATGTTTGGGGTTAATCCCACATGAAGACCTGGGAGTGTTATGTCCCACACTCTTCTGATTTTTTTGTACCATATACAGTATTGATTTCAATGAGTCATGATCCAGTTTATATTAGATTTAGCCTGATGTTCAACTCATTCCTTTGAACATATGAGTAGAAATAGGGAGAAGAGGTCAGGAGTGTGCTGGGGTTTTAGAGGCAAGGGGGTTAGAATTTGAGTGGACACCAGTCATTCACAAAGTAGAACAACAAGGGCCTGGCTCTGTTACCCCTAAGCATGCACTTATTCCATAGAACATTTGTTTTACCCTTTCTGCCTGCCAGACCCTCCCAGGCCCCAGTTCATGGCCTGTGCCTGTGTCCTGGGTGATTGTGTGGTTTGTCAGTGCGGGAACTCAGCAAAATCTAACATAGACAACAGGGCATAGAGGGAAGGAGAACCAGGGAGCCGAGTCCTTTCTTAGGGCCTGGAGGTAGTAGAAGTAGAAGATAGGCTCTGGTTTCTGAGGGCTTTGCCTCTATTGAGTCATTGGACAGAATATTTCATTAAATGCTGGAGGTACCAGAGTAATGTGGTACTCCAATAATGACTAATGGCCTCACCTTCCATGTGACTATCTTCTTGAGTCAGTCACCTTTGGACAAATGACAATGATGCAGGGTTTCTTCTTCCTATCCTTGAAAAATCACATCAAAGTCAGACATCCTTTTCTAGCTTAGAGAACTCAGAATGGGGACTGAGAAATACAATATAATAGTTATATCTAATAATGTAACTTATTATTAGATAATAATAAGGTATCTACCATATCACTGTCTTGATGTAGAAATGTCTTTTTAAGCAGTGATTTGGATTGTAGTTCCACAGAGGCCTTTTTATTGCCTAGGAATGGAGACTGTCATTTATCCTCAGCATCTCCCCATTAAGTTGCACCTGGTTTGACTGAGATGGCTTAGGGAAGACTTGTGTGAGCTTAGAGCTCAGCCTTAAAATACACATCATCATGGGAGGTCACTTTTGCTAAGGAATGTTTTATGAATGTTAACAGGAAGTGATATAGAGGCCTTTTTGCTAAGGATTTACACTAAAGTGCTGATGCCACCTTGCTTTGGGAGATAGCATGTTATCTTGGAGAGGGCTTTGGAGCCACAATGACCTGGCTTCCAATTCTATTCTCAGCCCTGAACCAAGGAACTCACTCACCCTCTTTGGTCCTCAGTTTTCTTATCTGTGAGACTGGAGTAATAATAGCTAGAGAGCAAATATAGGTAATGGGTTTAAGGCACCCAGCACAGAATAGGTACTTAATGCAGTTTACTCTTATTTGTAGAGCAATTCATCATTTCCAAAGCACTTATGCATTTAAGGGGTAGCTATGAAACTCACCATCCTGATGGTGTTTAAGATTGGTATGAAATGTTTATGTGGCTACATGGGTGTTTCCTTCTGCCACTAGCTGGGCA